AGCAAGCTGACACCCCAACAACCAAACAAAAAACAAAAAACGTAAGGAACCGGATGGCTGGGAGCCAGGATCTTGGATGCTCACCAGTTGGAAGCCGCTTCCGAGCACCCGGCAGCCACCAGCAGCTGCAAAGCGCCCAGCTGCAGCAGAGCGCTCTGCTGCAACAGCGCCTGGCGTCTTCACGAAGTCGCCAATTCCCTCAACGCACCACCCGAGACCCACACAACCCCCCCCAGTGGTATGGGGGTGGTTGGCGGCAGTGACCATGTTCGATTGGACTGGCATGTGTATCACATGTTTCCTTTCTGGCACTCCCAATCTCACGACCTTGTGGAAGTAGATTTTGGGAACCTCTTTTCGGATTCAGGGTGTTCCGAATATCAGCTTTGAACCGGGCGTTACCTGAGGGGCCACTTGGATGGCTCGGAAACCAGAGCCGTGTGTCGCGTTCCATCAACCTGGGTTTACGTTTTCCTTGCACCGCTGTTGGCTACCATGGTTCCTTGACACATCCCCAAATCACTTGTTTCACGCCTCGCTGGGATTCCAGGCCTCTTTGTGCCCTTTGTATTCGCGAATGTTTGGTTGACGTTGGAAGGGGAGCAAATTTTACATTGTAGCAGTTAAGTGGGGATGTCGCACTAAACAAAAATAAGCAAAAATGTGGAATGCTTCCCAACAACCATGAATGGGGAATAAAGCGACAAGTCCTTGTTCCAACGACAATGCCCCGAACCTCCGAACATCACCCCACGTCAGCGAGCACTCACTCGTCTTCTGGGTCGATCCAGCGCCTCTCGCAGGTCGGAGCATTTAAATCGAAACGGCAACCTCGGGAACACCACAAGCCAAGTTCAACCATCAAAGCCTCGGATTCATAGGAAGCGGTTCAACCAAAGAATGGTCTGCCTCTCCTCTAAAGGGGACACCAACATCAGGATATATGGCGCTGTTCCCTTCATGTCCGCAAGTAAAAAGGATGAAACCGAGCCTTCACCGTCTATAGTTCACAAACTGGAGATCCTTGAGTAAATTCCTTCCCCAGGGTTAAATCGCCCAAACCCTTTTCGGTGGTTGATTTAAAAAAAAAAAAAAAAACACATCCCAACAAGATGGCAGTGTGTGTGTGTGCATACGCGGCTTTGAGGTACCCCTTTTTGGGTTGGCTTGTGGGAAGCCAATAGGAAACCACCCCTGGCGCCTGTGTGAGCAAAGACTTCTGCATGGCCTTGGGCACCAAGGCCTCCTGGATCCAGGACCTGACTTCGACGTGCTTGACGGACTGCGGAGTTTGGCCAAAACGGCTCTGTGGGAGTTTCTACAAAACTGGGGACCCCCCTTTTTCGCACAGTTTTAAGTGGAAACCAAGTGGAAACTGGCCACACGAAGGTTTGTTCATCTGGGGTTCCCGTTCTGCTTGTCTCGAAGCACGAACAACAGCTCAAACGCATTTCTTGAAAGCTCTCCAGAGACGAAAGCTGGGCAGAAACTTCCAACGACGTTCAGCTGTTCGGGAAAGCAGTTGAAACCTGTTCGCCCTGGATCAAAACAAAGTCCAACAAACCGACAGTAAGCTTCCCTTGTTTGGGGCAAAACAAGAAGCAAAGGGCGACACAGAACTGGGCTTAGGCCCTTGGGAAATGCGATCCATGCTATCAAGAACGCATCGAAGCGTTTTAGCACCCCAGTGGCCCGAAAGTGGCACTGGTCACGCGCAAGGTTGATTCTTTTCAATGGCAGCGTGGGCTGTTCAGCCACACGTCGAATGTAGGGCTCTGGCAATCGCAGCTCAGTGACGGCATGAGTATCCTCGGGTCCCACCACAGCCATCGCCTGCGCAGCCCAAGCGAAGCCCAAGAAACGTTCAACGTGTCTGTCATGTGAGCTCGTTCTACCCTGACAACCCCCAGGCAATTGCTCACATTTCCATCAGCTGTTCAGCCCATCGGGGTCAAAGGCATCTCTGTGGCAGACATGCTCCCTCTTAGCTTAAACTCCTGCCCTCTCAGCTGTAGACGCATGAATGCCTTTGCCATGGTACAGTCAATGCCAACTATGTTGCTAAAGGAGCCTGGATAGCCTCTCTTCTGCTCAAATCTGAGTCGACCGCACATCAGATTCAAGCGCATCGCACAGTTTCCGTGCAAATGAGTCATTGTCATGAAACAGCTGCTTAGATTGCTTTATTTTGCAGACTCAAACCCTGACAACCCAATATCCTGCAAACAAGCTGCTTGCAAAATCGACCCTAAGTGTCCACCATAAAGGCAGTAGGGGATGGCGCCTTGAGCCCTTTGCCCCGAAAGCGATCTTCTAAAAAAGCCGCGTGCCTCCGAGCGCAGCGAGGAGACGTCCATCTCGAGGATGGTCCGCAGAAAGCCGACGTTCAGCAACCAGGCCCTCGCGCTTTTGGTCTTGGGCCGCCGGGCCGGCGGTGGGCCGGTGGGCCGGTGGGCCGCAAGCGATGATCCCAGGGCTCAAGCCGCATTAAAAGAATGGCAAGGACGCAATTTGGATGATGATGATGATGATGATGATGATGATGATGATGATGATGACGATGACGATGATGATAATGATGATGATCCTTATCTAAACAATGGTGGTTGTATGAACCCCCATTGTTTTAATGAGGGGGGTTTGAACCTCAGGCATGAGGCTTAACCCTACGAGTACCTTGGAGATGTCTTTGTCACCGATCCCTTCAGCCCGTTCGAAACCCGTGTGGTCATTTTGTCATGGTCCGCAATCCCGTCATGTCGAGCTCGTGCCCAGCGATTGCTTCCAACGGTTGCAAGAGAAGAACGAGGGTGGCATTGTGATTCTAGGCAGAGAGGACTGCCTTTCCATCAGTGTGGGTTTTGAAGATGAAAGAGACATTTGCATGACATTCAGAGGAGAAAGAAGGAAGGCCTACCACAGGCGGAGAATTCATTCCTTGCAACGAATCCAAAAGAAAGTGACTACCCTCCCACCAGCTAACATGGAAGTGCACAAACCCCTGTAGAAAGACGACTTCCTCTTGGAAAGGGCCTTTTTGTACTTCCATGTTAGTTGGTGGGAGGGTATATTTTAGGAGTTGCCACCTTCACTGGTCAAACATGCATGAGATTTCTGACCCTGGAATGATGAAAACACCAATGGACCGAGATCATCCTATCACCCACACACAGTGATTCGGGGTTGCTTCGAAGACCCTCTCTGTGTGGAAAAGTTGGTTGGTAGTGTCCCGAACAGCCGCTGGAACCCTCCCTGACAGCTGCCCCGAACCACCCCTTATCGCCTATCTGGGTCGATATCAGCTGTTGAGGGAAAAGCCTCAAATGGGACATAGGGAGTATGGGGTGGCCTGGGAGCACTAAACATGTGCTTGACCCATTGGTCGAGAGAGTGACCCCATCGCCCCACTTTCCTCGTCAGGCTTGGCTGCAGCGGAAGCTTTAGTCGCGAGCAGAACCTCAATGAGCTCAGGTACGGGTGGCTCCCCGATTTGTGGCGTTGTCGCACAGATGGCCCCTTGAAAAGGCACCAAACAGTGCCGCCTCCCTGGTGCCGCCTTACCCATTTATATTGACCTCCCCCCATAGACTGATTCAGAGCCGGCCCGCAATCGCGGCAGGGCCCTTTCTTGCGACTAATAGCTGTCAGGGTCAGAACCCTCCTAGCTACACTTGGTATGGCTTTGAATCAATGCTGGAGTGAACCTATTTCACTTGACTATGTGTTCGAATTGACCACCAGTCCCCACAGACCACTTCCTTCGGTCTGGAGGAAGGGTTTCGCATGAGGCGCGCAAAGGAGCCACAGATGTCCCGTGGGATCGTGTTGCTTGTGCGGCGGTCCCCTGAACATTCGCAGGGAACCATGTCTGAGCAGTGGACAAGGATACAAATGGCATCAAATGGCAATAATGTGGGTACATAGAACGCGCCCTTGTTGCGTAAAACCCTGACAGATTGGGTCTGTAGCGCTATTTCCCCCGCCCCCAAGCAAAAAACGGACCAGCAATATTATTCGTTGCTGCTTTTCCAAAACAAAGGCAACCCCCTTGGTAGATGCGGAAACAAAAACAAAAACAACGGAGACCATTCGTGCCATGCTCAAAGCTTCCAAGATGTGGGCCTCATGGTTCCCGCTTTTGGAAACCTTACCAGAGGTTGCCTAAACTCCCAACTACGGGTCCACGACCGTCCCCACCCGAATGAAGAGGGTGCTTTGACCATGCCACATTTGCCTTTCGAGATTGGCCCTCGGAAACCCGCGCGGCACGCAGGCCCAAACTCCGGAAGCCAGCGCTTGCTGAAGTCTGGAAGCCAATTTCCGAAGGCCAAAGCCAGCGGTGGGGGGAGGGAACCCAACCAGGGTTGGGCCACCCTCTAAGTTCAATCATTCAACCAGCATTGCCTAGAAGAACCTTTCTGGGTGAGTTATAATATTTCACCAGCCTGAAATAAGATGGTTGGAGGGATATTCCCTACATAAACCACCATTTGGGGTGAATTCGGTCGTGTTGTGAGGTCGTTATAACTCACCCAGACCTTTGGTTCCCCTTTCAGGGTCTGGAGTCCGGTTGCTACCAATTTGGTTTCGCTCAAAGCGCCAAATTGGCACCTTTCTCTGCCGCCTTTGCCGCGCTGGGGCAAATGTCGGACCTAACTGGCTGTGGAACGGAGAAAGCCACTCCCCCGCAGATTCATTCGGAACCCGGGAAACCAAAACACAATGTCTAGGTAGATTAAGAAGATGCTAATTTAGGGAGAAAGGGCTCTGATGTTGGGATCCTCGTGAATTTGCGGAGAAGTGCATCCCAGAGAGTCCCGGAGGCTTCACACGGAACATCCATAGGGGACCCTGAGGGATCGACATGTCGATTAACAAGGCATCCACATGCTCTTCTTAGAGCACGCAGAGCGGTGCGTTAACGTGTCGAATTCCTCTTGCCCGCGAAAGGGCGAGATCGCTGCAAACTTCAAAAGCCTCCAAAGCCTCCCGCAAGTTGCTCACGGCGAGTCGCCAGCGGTATAGCCTCAGAGCCATGGTTCACCAAATCTTATCGGGGATTGGCCGAACTCAAAACTTGCTGTCAGCCTAAAATTCCGAGGTCCGACCATCCTAACCCCCGGGTGGCTTGACAATGGCACAGCTGATCGCCTTCAAATGGGTCTAGTGGTCCATGCAACCGATCCATTGAATCCCTCTTCCATCGCCATGTTATGCCCTCCCTTAAATGAGTCATAGTTTGATGCGCAATCTTGTCTGATGCTCACATCTCGCTTTGAAAGGATGGCTCAATGAAACTCCAAGTTGCTGGTGTCCTCTGCTGAAAGTTGAGCTGTTTGTGGGATATGACATGCATCTCCAAACTCCGACGAGCTGAAATTTTGATGGTGGGAACCGCCAAGGAGTGACCCGTGTCACAATAAGAGACGCATGAATGGTCGGGAAGGCAGGCAAGCCGAGAAACTCAGGGAGGTCAACCTAGTTTGACAGGACGCCGGCACAACAATGGGATAGCAACAATGGCTCCATTGGAATGGTCCAAGCTTCGAAGCTTCGATGGACAAAGACCTTTGGACGCACAGCCTGGGATGGTGAAAGAAACTCGGGCAGCCGTTGCCATGACAAACTTTTGACACATCGCCAAATCTGGGCAGCCAACTCCCAATGGGCTTTCCTAAAGCTGCTTGCGGCGGCATGTCAGGGATCCAAAACGGGGTGCCCTGTGGTTCCAGCCACAATGTCAACCCAGAACCGGGCTGAAAGAGCGAGGAGCTGTTCTGCCGCGTGAAGAGGTCGGAGTGGACGCTGGTTTGCCTCGCGACTGGGAGCTGCTTTTCGCATGGTTCAACAACTAAGTCAAATCACACTCCTTCAAAAGGTCAACTTGTTGCTCCTGAAAACACGGCCGCGCTAAGCCAAACCGTGATCCGGTGTTCGTGTCGAGACAGTGTAGCCAAGCGCTTTTCGCATGGGAGCTACGAACCCAGGGACGAAACTACTCGTAGCTTAGTTGCGTCCGAAGACGCATGGAGGAACGAACTAAGCCATCGCGGCGGAGCAGAGCATCGTGGGGAAGTAAGAGGGGAGGCGAAGTCGGAAGGTGAAGGGCTCAATCAATCGGCCAGGAGGGAAGTAACCCGATCCTGATGCGGGAAGCGAGGTCTTGTCTCGAGATCTTGGACCTGGAGGCCACACCCAAAGCGGACAAGTTTAATTTTCTGTGCTTTGTCCGAAGGGGTAATTTTTGCAGCAGTGATGGTGGAAAGGGTACAGTACGTAGGCAACTAACAAAAGCTTTGACTTCATCGCCAAGGTTCTTCCTGCACGCTGCATGGAATCGGGATAGGGCAGTTGGTGTCCAATCTGAATGACACCCAAGAAACTTCAGCCTGGGAGGCTCGGGGCCACAACAGTTTTAGAGCCCAGTCGAGTAGCGCTTGGTTGTAGGAAGCACCCCAAACTCAGGCATACATCCAACTACCACAGAGCCCAAGGAGGTTGATCGGAGCTCTTCTCCGGGGCACGAAGCGGTGACCGGTATTCCTGTTTCAAAAGCTGAAAAATACGATGTTGCTTGGCTTTCTCTTAGCAAACTCTGAGGTGCGGATATATTTCGGGATTCTTTCTCTCTCTCTCTCTCTCTCTCTTTTTCTCGTTTTTCGTCCGGGCCAGGGAATGTCGTATTTTACAGCATTTTCTCACGGAATTGACGTATTTTACACTAGCGCGTCAACATCCCCAGCATCGTTTTCAACATCCCCCGCATGTCCGAACATCCCCCGCATCACCAACAAATCGTGGGTAGCAAAATCTTAAAAAGTTGCTGGCGGGTTGAAAATGATGGTTCAAACAGGAGGGCATTTCAATCGCTGCAAACTAATCTAAAAAAGTAGCGGGGGGGTTGGAGGGGCGGCAGCCCCCTCCCATGATGTTCGCAGAAGTGATGATTCGGTTAGGGGTGCAATCAAATCTCTGCAAAAAGTCTAAAAAGTAGCGGGGGGGTGGGCGGCAGCCCCGCCCATGATGTTCGAAGGAGTGATGATTCAAATTGGGGTGCAATGATTGAAGAAAGGGTGCGTTAGAATAAACAAGGAAGCGGGAGGGTTGGCGGGGGTGGCTTCCCATATGATGTTCGAAGAAGTGCGTACATACAGACATACATAGATTACATGGATTACGTAAAATGTCTTATTTTACAGCATTTACTCGAGAAATTTGATGCTCGACAAAGTGATGATTCAAATAGGGGTGCAATTAAATCTCGGGGCAAGGGGAGCCACCCCATGATGTTCGAAGAAGTGATGATCAAATAGGGAGGAACTGGTGATGCTGAGGATGCGGGAAGCCAAAGCCAAAAACCAATGACAGGGTGCAAAAGCCAAAAGGCCCGGAAAGGAACAGGATGCAGAGGATGCGAAAAGCCAAAGCCACCAAAAGCTGCATAAACCAGCGAAAAGCCACAAAAGCGAGGCAATGCCAGCTCAAAGCGAGCACGAAAGCAACGGCGAACACGCCATCGGCTCGGGCGAGGCGCTTGCGAATCGCGGCGAAGAAGCACAGCAGCACGACTTTCGTTTACAACTGGCGAAAAGTCCAAGGAGGGGACGGCCGCGCGCGAGGCTGGAGTCAACCAATAGCTGCCCGGGCGACTTGCGCAAATCTCGCAGCCCAACAACCCAACAAAGCAACAGCCCAACAGCCCAACAACCCAACAACCCAACAGCCAACCAACCGGCAACCCAACAGCCCAACAGGCAAGAGCGCAACAGCCCAACAACCCAACAACCCAACAGCCAACAACCGGCAACCCAACAGCCCAACAGGCAAGAGCGCAACAGCCCAACAACCCAACAACCCAACAGCCCAACAACCGGCAACCCAACAGCCCAACAGCCCAACAGCCGAACAGCCCAACAACCGCACAGCCCAACAGCCCAACAGCCCAACAACCCAATAGCCAGCCCAACAACCCAACAACCCAACAGGCCAACAGCTCAAAAGCACAACAGCCCAGCAACCTAACAGCCCAACAACCCAAACAACGCAACAACAGCCTAACAGCCTCACAACCCAACAGCCCAACAGCCCAACAACCCAACAGCCCAACAACCCAACAGCCCAACAGCCCAACAACAGCCCAACAGCCCAACAGCCCAGCAGCCCAACAACCCAACAGCCCAGCAACCTAATAGCCCAACAACGCAAACAACACAACAACAGCCTAACAGCCTCACAACCTAACAACCCAACAGCCGAACAGCCCAACAACCGAACAGCCCAACAGCCCAACAGCCCAACAGCTCAACAGCCCAACAGCCCAGCCCAACAGCCCAACAACCCAACAGCCCAACAGCCCAACAACCCAATCGCCCAACAGCCCAACTTGTTGCTAGAGCTGAAAGAGAAATAAAGGGACCCTTATAAACCATCCAACTGGTGGTTTCCTTCAAGGGGACTCCCAGGTTCATTCCCTTATTCCCTACTGACCAGCAAGTTGTTGGGTTACCCAGTGGGGTTCTCATTAATTTTGGGGCTGACTCAAACGCTCCGGTCAGGAACTGGCTGCTTTCTTCATCCAACAGCTGAAAGCTACTGGGTCCATAGGCCCAAAGAAGGTTTGGAGCAGCTTTCAAGGAGGGTTCCGGAGGGTTCCAGCAAATTGCTGTTGGGGATACCACCTGGGCATATTTGTTCCCCAGGCTTGCCTATTTTGGGCTTCTGACTCAAGATGGGTTGGTTCCTTTTGGTTTCCTCCCGGGATCTGGGGTCGAAGGCCAAAAAATCCGGCCTGGTGGTGGGTTCTCTTGTTCGAAAGTTACAAAGACGACGCACCGAGATGTTTTCGGCCGCATTCCCAGCCCCCCCGGACATCGCCTGGAGAAGTTCCCGAAGAGCTCATCCAAGCGCGTGGGCTTGACGATGCCCGGCCTGTAAATCGTCCAGTCCGCCACCTGACCAGAAACCCAAAGCAAAGCAATGCCCTTGGTGGGTCCATACCTTTTTAGGGGTGTCTCTGCTTTTTGGGGAACCCCCCTTGGCTTTTCCTGTAAGAACCACACCAAACAGGGTACCCCAAAAAAGACACCCATATGGGAGTAACAAAAGGTGGTTTGAGTCAAACTCAGGCACCGCAATTGGGTCCTCCTGGCCTTTTGGTTTCGCTTTGAAACCATACCAAGGGAGATCAACCAAACGTTTGAGGATCACCCCCAAATGCTCCCATTGTTCCCGGGTTCCCCAAAAGAGCCACGGGAGGCACTCAAAAAAAACACCAAGGCATCCTCCAAATCAGCTGGCACACGTGATATTCATCAAGCCGCAAGCATGAACCTGACTTGGGGGCCCTTGTTGGCACCATGTTCCTCCTGAATGCACCTAGTTTAGCTTCAAAAGTTGGTGCTTGGGCTGTCACAACCGGGCAAACGGTGGTACACTTCAAACGCTGGACCTTGGTGGGTGCCAAAACGAACAACTGGCCAGTGGAATCCGTGCAGGTGGGTTGGTATTACCAGGACCTATGCACCCAAAATCATGCAGAGAGGCAGCAGGGTGGATATCCGCACCGCTTTCTGCTGAAGACTATCCCCAACCATCTACAGTTTGATGGTGGCTCAGTTGCCCAGTGGAAAAATGCATGAGGTCTTGTAGCCCAACCGCACAAACCCCCCAAAAAAAGAAGGGGCGTGGTAAAGACCGCAAAAGCAACCGCCTTTTTTGCTTGGTGTAGAGCACCAGACCCCCCTCTGGTTCTGGCTAGGCCCGCCCATGTTTGGGCGCCTTTTTGGTTGGCTATATTTGGTTTAAAGGTGAGTTGGGAGCCTAGGCAAGGGCAACAAAAGTAATCGTGGACTCCCTCTCAAGACCCCCACGATTCCGTTTAGCAATTCAGTAGGGGAGAACCATGCGGGTTTGGTGGGGGGAGCTTGGTGTTCCATCCGTGTTTTGATGGTTCCAGGAAAATGACACGGACACCGGCCCGGTACTTGTTGAAAAGTCATAGAGACTTGACACAACCCGTCATACTCATCTGTGTCGAAATAGGGATTTGGACAAAATGATTGGTTTCACCAAGCCTCAAACAACGAACACACACATATGGTGATTGCTTCTCAGTGGCATTCTGCCTGGGAAAAAAAACAGTTGCTCAACATCCTCAACTGGCTTCTACCCACTGATGTGTCTCAAGGCACAAACAAAATCATGGGTTTGCTTTTGGTTTCCCTTTAAACCACTCCGAAAAAATGGGCACCCTCAAAAACACCCGAAGGAAGTAGCAACATGAATCACGTCTTTCTGTCGGAATCGCGGTGCCTGTGCATCCAGAGTCGCAGGGAAGGAGTGCTGTGTCCTGACGGGGAGGTGCGAGCGTCAATTGGCCCGAACCGACACCTGCCTTTGTCCAACCCCCCGGTTTGATCTTTGTTTCCATTTACCCAGGGCCCATTTTGGGTATCTTTTTGAGCCACGGCCAAATAAGTCCCAAGAACGACTTACCAAATGAGCAGGACACACTCACCCCCCCACCCCAACAAAAAAGAAGTTCCTGCCCTCAAAAAAGAAACACCCCCAAATGGATGCCACAAACCCACACGCAGATCGCCTCCCAACAGATCACAGGGCACCAGCGCGCTGGTCCTTGAGGACACACCCCGTTCCGGAGCTACCAGCAGGGTCTCGTCCTCAGGGCGAAACAAACCCAAAGGTGGGGGGGGCGGGGGAGGAGGGGACCTGACGTTCGCGGCTTCCTGGAAGGCCGTTTCATTTTAAAGGGACCCCCCAAACGTCTGCTTCCCTGTTGATTGGTGGGAGGGTTATGGGGAAACCAAAAAAAAAACGAAGCCCTTTGGGAAGGTGCCCGCTAATTCTGACAAGTATAGATTTCCTGTTCACTTGGTCGTCTCTGAGAGTCATCTTGGATTTCTGCCATCCATTTTGAGAGTCCCTACTGTGACACAGTCCCCCCCCCCAAAAAAAAAAGCCGGGTTTCCTTGCTTTTCCTCAAAAAGACAACCAGAAAGAAAAGACACACACACACACATGAATATCCAAACTTGGCCCCAAAAGAAGCGAACTGGCTGCTCGGCAAACATCAACAAAAATGGGCAACTGTTAGAGTCTCGCAATGGGTCACGGCAAGTTAATAGGGCCGGTGATGTTTGTTCCGCACAAGTGGAGGATTGGGTCAACATTGGCCTGATACAGTACGTGGGCCATTCCCACGTATCCTACGTCACTTCAAAGAGGATGCTTGTGGTATCAGAAAATGGCCCAACATTCCCAACACGAACCCAGAGAAAGGGTCAGAGGAGCCTGTAACTTTCAGGATGTCTTGTGGATTTCACAATTTGACGCATGATCATGAGGACAAGCCTCTGGCAAAGGCCGCAACTAAAGTTCACAACAATCGTGGAGGGCGGGGGGAGGAGAGAGGGCCCAAATAAGCACTTATTGAGCCCCTAACAAGGCCATTTTTGGGGCCTATTTGGGCTCCCTCCCCCCCTCCTTACCCCCCCCCAGCCCCAGGAGGTTGGCGGACCCGTCAAGTGCCAAGTGGCTCTGTTCATGTGGCTCTGGTGGAATTTCTGCAAATCCACGGTATGGTAACCGCGGTTATCGATGGACACGCAGGTGGCGAAGGTCCTGACACCAGTCACAAGCTGCTCTTGCAGGCTCCCTCAATGAAAGAGGTCGTGGCTCCCCCAAAAAAAGCTTCATGGGAGTGGATCGGGGGGTCCACCAAAGGAAAGTGGTTTTCCAACATCCTTCCTCTATAAATGTTTGCCCCAAACTACCTCGTTCCTCCCACCTTCCGGCTCCTCCCCAAAAAAGGCGCCCCGAAAAAGAAAAGACTCGACGCCTCGCGAAAACAAGCGAAAGCGGGTCGTCGGGTCGTCGGGTCGCCGCGCCTGTCCCAGAAGAGGTCGTCCAGGGTGTAGGAGTGCCTCGCCTCAAAGCTGGCGGCGGTGGTCTGCTCCACGCCGCTCACCTCGGAGAGCAACTCGTCGACCGAAGGAACAGAGCGACTCGTCGGGGCCAAAAGCGAGGAGCTACGAGGCTGCCGCACGTAGCTCAGGCGTGTGCTACAACCGTACATATTTCCCGGCTTTTCAGGACAAGCCAACATGCAGCATGCCCTTTTCGCCGATGTGTGTTTGCTTTAAAGCACCACTTTGGGTTCCGAAAACCGCTTTGTGGACACGCGAAAACCAAAAAAACAACACTGTGTGCGAGGTAGTCTCAGAGCGAGCCCGGGCAGCTCCGGGCGCTGTTTGTTGACCCAACACTTTGGGGCGCAGGAAAGGCAGCGGAGCTTCCAGACTCGAAGCCGCCACTTTCTGGGGTTGAGGTCATTTTTTGAGGGTTTGGGAGGGTTGGGGAGTGGGCTTCGGTCAGGTCTTAGACTTGTTTAGGGTCTGGGATGGTTTGGGAAACGATGTGAAGCCCCTTTGGATCCCCATAGGGACAGTATGGGTTTCATGTTTAACGCTCTGCTTCCCTTGATCCAACAAGAAGAAGAGGGCTTGATCTCTGCTTGGGTTGCGAGACCGAGCTTCATGTTTGCTGGCGTTTCGTGGATGGTAGGAAGATCAGGGTCCTCCTGACAATTGGCTTGTAGGGTGCCCACTACTTTCCAAGTCAACCTGCATACCTTTTGAGCAAGGGAATGGTGATACCTGCAAGGTCAAACCAGAAATTGATCCGGCTGGGCTCTAGATCAACCCAAAACAAGGGGAGTGCTCTGTGGATTCACAAAGTCCAGTTCAACCGCCCCACTTTTGGCTGATACCCTAATACTGGTGCACAAACCACCAATCCCGCGTGGATTTTGGAACCATCCACGGTAGAGGAACTTTTATATGGTGTTGTCTCCCACCTGCCTCAAGAGGCAACAAGACGCGTCGGTGGATCCGCATCAACTTGGTCCCGGGCCAAGACCAGAATCTCCAGGTAGGTCGACCTGAAAAAGGATCCGAGACAAGAAACACCGCCTCTGCAATGATGTACCATGTACATGTTTTATGATTTGCCTTCTGACTGGTTTTTGCGTCACGTGCTTGCCTTCGGTTTGATCTTAGACAACCCACCGACCGAGAAAAAAAGGGAGGCAAGGCTGAACATCGGTGGGCAGAACTGTGGGGTCATGAGGGCCTTGTACCAATGCCTTGCAAGGGGATGTTGCTAAGAATTGCCAAATTGCAAAGTGCCAAGGAAGGCAGTTCCAATGGGGGACGAAATCGGAAAGATGCACGGCACTCACTTGCTGAGTGGATGGCCCAAGAATAGTCCAAGCTTTATATCTACCACTAAAATGGTCTTCCCAAAAAAAATATAAAGTTCATGAACTCAGGAAGTGAGGGCATTGGTAAAGGATTAGAAACAAGCTGCAATCATGTTTAACCAAACTGGCCTAAGGACACCCACGGTTGACTCCCTATGAAGCATGGCCCATGTATTCCATCCACTCGGACAATTTATCCGGACTGCAAATGGCTGAGTCAACGTTCAAACCTAAACCTACTTGTGTTCTTCTTGGCCCCAACAGACACACACACACACACACACCAAACACAGACGCTACACGCTGACAACGTGTTTTATTTGTTTGCACGAGCAGCCTGACTTACTGGCATGTTTTTGTTGGACCACAATACCTAGCAACGTTGGTCAACGCGTTGCCTTGCTCACCTCCTTGGATTGTGATGTCCAGCAAAGGGTCCCAAATAGACGTTTACCCCCATGTTGAGTTTCCCCATTTTGAAGTATAACACTGGCGAACGGACATGAAGCAACCAGGGAACAAGTTGGAAACTTGAGCAGGGCGTCGTGGCTGGTTTTGTAGCACCAGCCTAAAGTCGCGCTCAGATTACCTTGGTCTTGGTTTGAGCAGTGCAACAATTGTGGGGCTTCTGGGGAATGAACCGAAAGGGGATGGCCCGGCTCAGAATTCAGTTGGATGTGGTGGGTTCATTTGCACTGTTGAATCAGCCGAATCTTTGCAACGCAGCTGTGCGGAGCTGGCATACTGCAAACTCTGCAAACGGATGCACATTGATCCACAAGAATGCCAAAGTCACACAGCTCAATCGCCCATCACAATGTGTCAGTTTCCCAAAAGGAAAACCTTGGGAACCATCAATTTGCTTGGAAAGCCCGGGTCTTCGACTTCATCCCTCCGAAATTCGACGCCTCACGGCCGTTGAGTCCCCGCCGAGGCGCTTCCGGAGATATCTCCGCACCTCGATCTCCGAGGGGCAGCCCTCCGTGCCCGGAGGCATCACTGGAGCCAGGGGGCTCTCATAGTCCACCTGACCGACACGTTGGACCAGTCTCCACTGGTGAGGAGTTGTTTCTCCAGGGTTTGGGAATGTTTTAAATCGGGGGGAGGGGTGTATTAGGGGGGAAAAGCATATTAGGGTTTATTAGGCTTTATTCCCCAGATAGCTGAAAGCCATAGGGTTCTAACTTCTAATAAGGAGGGGAAAGTGATTTGCGAGATTGACGGCTGCTTGCTAGGGGGCGAGCAGTTTGGCGTGCTGGCGTAGGTGCTGTTTGGGGGTGCTTTTTGGGGTGCTTTCTGGGGTGCTGGTGACGGTGCGCTCGCATTTTGCAATGGGAGCATGCAGGGGACGGCACGCGCGCGTTTTTGCGACTGCAGGGTGGTTTGGGGCATGCAGTTTGGGGTGCTGTTTTGGGATGCTGGTTGGGCTGCTGTTTGAGGGTGCGGACGCATTTTTGGGAGATTGACGGCGTGCTGGTGTGCAATCACTGTTTTTCGCTATCTGGGGTCTATGCTGGTGTAACCTTTTTAGGTTTATGAGGGAGGGGTGTAAAAAGGGTTTGTTAGGGGGTGTATTAGGGGGGTTATTAGGTTTTGAGTTAGCGTACCCCATCCAATAGCTACATTTAGCGATTTCAACCAGGACATGGGTGGGACATCCAGAATTGGAATCCGCGTGGAGTAGCGACCAACACCCGCTGACTGTTGGAGGTATAAGGGTTGCAAGCATTGCAGGTTGACCGGCCCCAACTGAACCGGGTTGACCGGGGACAATTGGATGTTCAACCAACCTCAGGTATGTTGCAAGCATGGGTACAACTGCGTAACTGGGGTACCGACCTGCGGTTGGTTGAACACCCAAGTAGATTCCACGTCCTACTCCCGATGTGGTTCTTCAGGTCCCAAAATTCATATATACCCTGGTCAAAACTGCATATCGTGATGGTCGCCCTGTTTGTGACTATCCCCACCATCCCCAGATGAAATTGCGTTGTGACATATGGGCAACGGACAAAATGTCGCCTTCCCCCCCCCCCACTGGGAACATTTGCTCTTGGTCGCCCTGGTTTGTTTGGGTACTCAGATCCTCAAGCCGACTGTGGACTACTCGAACGACATCCCAAACCCCCGTTGGTGCTTGGCTTTAACGGGGTTTACCCGGGCAAAGAAAGCAACGAGGCAAACGTGGAGACCCGACATATGGTCAGCGACTATGAGTGTGTCTTTCAATGGTTGAGTTGCCTTAAGCAACGAAACAAGGGCGAAAATATCCTCAAAAGAGACACCGCAACAAATTGTGTCTGGGGCTGTCCTGTTGACCTCGCTTTAAACCAAGGTGAGAAGGGCACCCCCGGCACAAACAAACACCCTTTCAGTTTCAATCAGGTGTTCCTTCCCACCAGGGGTCGAAAACTCAAAACAACTCAACACAAGCTACCCTGAAACAGAGCACATCCACATTGAACCACGGTCAAACTATTTGCTTCCCAGGAGAGCATGGGAAACTTAGTGGATGCTCGGGTTGTCGCCATTAGGAAATTTAGAGCTTCCACAGACAAATCAGGAAAATATTGACCGAACCTCATATGGGAGTGAGTTCTAATGTGGAACCACCTCTGAGAAGTGGTTGGTGGGCATGAATACCAACCAAAGGGGCTTCTCCCATGTGGCTGAAATATCATATTTTTGAGGTGTTCCAAGCAATGGTCATCCCATGCATCACGGACCTTGTGATCAACCCCGTCTTGAGCTGTTCAAAAGCTGTCCCAAACGGATCCGTCGAGCCCCGGCAAACGCTCCTTGTGGACCACCTCCGCGGGGAGGCCCAAAAACACCACGCCGTTGTACATGTCCATGTCTGGCTCGATGAGGTCCAGCCTGAAATCTACATCTGATTGGGTGTTCGTCAAAACCATTGGTTGTAATATGCTTTGTATGTACAAATATATATGTGTATACCAAATGACAATGTTCAACTTTGGTGGGATCCAAAGAAGAAGTTAACAAGGAGACACCCCTGTCTGCTTGTCACTCCCCTCCCCTCCAAAAAGAAGGGGACCTAAGGAGAAATGGCTTATCTACATCACAACCGGACACATTTTCCCTTGCAGGTAGTGCAAGAGATTCAAAGAGATGAAGTTGTAGTCAGATTTCCAAGTTATGTCCAACCCCAAACTCCGAAAACCCCCAAACCGCAGGACCTCGAAAAACCATCGTGAAGGAAGCCGAAGGTGATCTGTTTCGCCACCTTCGGGGGCGGGACCATTTTGGAAACGAGAGCCCGGTTGGAAAAACTTCGTGTCAGAATGGCATGGGAAAATTCCAAAACCTACCTGACTCCCCCCCTCATAATTATTCTATTTTCGAAGGGGGAGGGATGGAAACCAACATGACAAACATTGAATGGGGTTCATATGGGTTGTGATCCTAATCTCGCGAAGGTCCTCAAGTTGGGGATCGGTGAAGCGGCTAGCGTACTTTTGGCTGCCCTTTAAGAACCAACCAAAAGGCAGTCCCCGTCCCGCCCAGCCCTGCAGCCACGCTGCGCGTTTACCTCCACCCGGACGCCTTTGGGGTGGGATGGGTCCTGCGAATCGTCTCACTTTCTCGATACAATCGGCTCATTTGGAGTTGTTTTCGGTTTCCCCTTTTCAAGCCATTCAAAAGTGCGTCCGCGTTTTTAAGAAGCCTCCATTTATGTAAAGAGCAAGACCAGGCGGTTGCAGAATCGGTTCAGAATGTCGACAAATTAGAAAGATTCCAGAATAGCTCCAGAAATGTTTGAGTTGCTCATCTGGGTTGAAAGGCGTGGGAAAGAAAACGTGGGCTCAAAACCAGCATGGGGAGGCCCCAACTCAACCACCAAACCCAACCCACAGGCCACATCCACCCCCACCCACCCCCACCAACAAACTCATCCAAACTCCAACCCCTACGCTTCAAAAATGAATGGGCCCTTAAGCGGACGGCCCCCGTCGTGGACGGGCCCTAACGTGGACGCCGGTGAAACAATCACGGCGACTAGTTTGAACATTCAAACGCCCTGCTCTGCAAAAGGGCCCTTTGCTTTCGGCCAGGAATTGCTGGGGCAAAAGTCGGGCTCTTCTCGTCGCTAGGCGCGAAGAATCTGTTCTCGTGTCGGAGATGGTTTTCTGCGAGGCGAGCGGCCGGGATACTGGGGCCATCGCAGTTTGAAGCAGGCAACGCTACCTGTAGACCAAGAGTTCTCAGGTTCGGGCACTTTCGCACCTGCAAACCCAGTAGCTTCAAGTCGTGTCAAGAACACTCAGGCAATCCCCCCCCCCCCAAACCAATTGGTTTAGAACTGGGCAGCACTGCAAAAAGCCAACTCGGAGTTTCCATGAGCCGCGGTGACGAGGCCCCTCACCCGGCAACCCCGGCCCAACCCAACCCAACCCAACCCCCAAACCCCCAACCCAACCCCCAAACCCCCAACCCAACCCCAACCCCCCTTGGCCCCCCCCCCCCCCTCCAACAAACTGACATCCCAAAAATGGCTCCTTGTGATGCTGCACGCAATAGACCTGGATCTTTCCTGTCAACCCGGTGCAAAGCTCGGCGAAAGGCATGAAGAAAGACGAGCTTCACACACTTCAGGGGCAAAGCCGCGTCACGGGCTGACTGTCATTGAAACAAACCGGGCAAGTTTGAGCGCAGAGGCGGCGTGGTGTCAAACTGGGCATTCTGTTTGTGCCCGACTTAACAGCCAACATAGTGGAGGCTCAGTTTGATACGCGCTCACGTCGAGAGCTCGAACACCTTCTTCTCTGCGGTTCCTATGGGCTCAAGACTGGCCCATCGACGCTTTTAGGGCCCCCGCTTCAAAGGCGGGCCGACATGAATCGGCAAAAGAAATGCAGGATTGGGGCCAAGTTGCTGAAACATGTTCAAACCACCACTGTTCACACAACCTCCTTTCAGCTTGCCCTTTAAGGGACACAGGGGCTGGTGTTTTAAACACATGCTGCTCAACGCTTGAAAACGATGTGTTGCCGCACCCGTGCGCCTTGCGAGAGAGTGAAGCCGGTCCTGCCGGGGCTGGTGGACTAGTCTCTTCCAACTGTCACCCAAGCCGAGTCTTGGTGCTACTTGCCTGCCCCAAACAGACAAAGGCACTTGCTTCTGGAGACTTCACGTGGGGGAGTTGTCAAAATGCCGGGGGGGGGGGGGGTCTTTTGGCATTTCTCAAAAATGGGGGGGGGGGCGCGTACCGGTGGCGCCCATCTTTTTAACAACCCAAGCCGACGGTGACTGTGACAAACGAATCCGACCTGCCTCTTCGCCAGGCGGAAGGTGAGGTGGACGCATCCGTCCACCACCTGCAGCAGCGCCGTGTCGCTGAACATCACGCTGGCCGCGTGGGCGCTGGCCTGAGGCCCCCCAGTGACGTGGCGCCAGAGGCGAGAAGCGGCAGCTGTACAGGAAGCGCTGTTGGCCCTTTGCAGAGGTGCGCGAAAAGAAGGGAATCATCCAGATTTTCGAACTGGTGTGAAGCATATACTGTGATGTGATGTGATGTAGTATGTGATGTGATGCGAGGGAAAGCGATGTGATGTGATGGGACTGGACGGGATGGGATGGGATTGTGTCTTGTGTGGGCGTGCGCGTGTGTGTGCGCGTAAGAGTGCGTGTGCGCGTGCGTGCGCGTGCGGGTGGCCGGGCAGGAGGGAGGGCGGGCAGGCGGTAAGTGGGTGTATGCCTTTTATGAAAGTGAGTGTCTGTCTGGTTGTCACTCTGCTGAGCCCGTGTTTCGTGACGGTCCGCCTGATCCACGAAGAACCCGATCCTCATAATCCTTGTAACATTTATATAATGTGATTCCTAGCATGGATCCTTGCTATCGCAAGAACCATCCCTAAAAACCTATTCAACCTTGTTTGGGGTGTCTTTTTGTTGAGAGCGGGACGCTGTGAGCATGCGTGTTTTATTCTTCATTTCTTGAGTGGAAATTAGAGTTGAACTTTGTGTGCATAATGTGTGTGTGTGTGTTTAAATGTCAGCTGAATTGTAAAGAAATTTGGTTGGAAAGAACATACTGTGTAAACTATCAATTAAAATAGACTATTCTAATTCAAATTCTATTATGAAACAGAAGTTGTGATCAAATTACTTTTAAACTCTAATTTCATGCAATGTTCTATTGGGAAAGGTTGTACATCTAAATTCTAAATGTAAGATGAGATTCCCAGTAGGATTCTGATCAAGTATTTCCTGATTGAGTCCTATTGAAATCATATTCAAATTCAAGCTGAATTTTAGAGAGTGGCCGTTTGTGCAAATGTGAATTGAGTACGAAAAACTGTTTTACGGTGTTTCCACCATGGTCGTTCTGGGGCTAGTAAACACACAAAAAACACACACACTTTTAGGACGTCTAAGTTATTGCCTTCTGAAATCTACTTAATATCTTTACCAAATTCTACCCAATGCCTAACTGCAATTAACTAGAAATTATTAAGGAAATACTCCAATCAAAATGTATAAGTTAAATTAGACTTTCAATTATGATTGATCTATTTCAACATAAATGTTACACGGGAATTCCTTTTCCAATAGAATTGTCCTTACAAATCAGTAAGCATCTAAACAACATGTATTAAACATGTTCGGAATCTCCAACTTCTTTCCTTACGAACTCTACGCAATATATGTATCAAGTTCTACGCAATATATTCCTATCTCACAGTAAACATAACTTAGTAAGGAAAGAATCCAAACATAGGTATTGGTTTACAGTAGAACTTACATAATGTGTGTTCTATGTCAAAGTGGATGCTACACAGGATTTCCTGTCCAATAGAATTGTCTTTGCAGATCAGTAGGCATTTCAACAGCTGAACAATTTGGGACCTCTAACTTCCTTTCTTATGAACTCTACTTAATATATTTATCAAGTTCTACTTGTATAATTCTAATTAAAAATAAGAAGAATGTAACAAGGAACAAGTCCAACCAGAGGATACCATCTCTACCTTACTGTACTAGGGCTTGGATGTGAACTACACCAGTGCACTTGATCACAGAAGCTCTTGCAAACAGGCCGGAAACGGTACAGTACGAAAAACAACTCGAGACAACCAAGAGGGTTTTCACATGTTTCCAAAGAAATGCAAAAAACCGAGAAAACCAACAAACACAAACAAAAAAACAAGCCTACCCCCCCCCCCCCCCAGCCAGGACATGTGACATAGTCTTGGTGTTCTTGTTTTTTCTTGTTTTTTTAATAATTATTTTATTGTGTTTAATCGAGGTTTTTGTTGTGTGTGTGTGTGTTTGGGAAAAGTGTGAAAAACCTCGAGAAAACCAAAAACAAAAAAAGCAAACAAACCAAGACTGTGTCACATGTCCTGGGGGGCAGTCTTGTTTTTTGCTATCTTTGATGTTCTTTTCTCGAGGTTTTCTCGAGGATTTGTGTGTGTGTGTTTTTGGGAAAAGTTTGTTAATACAACCATAGACAAGCGCACGCTCAGGGTGTCCTGTTCTGTGTTTTTTTGGTTGGAGAGCATGATGAACACTTAGGGTCTATGTTGCAACCTCCTTCATTTAGGGTATTGGTTTTTTAGGCTTCTTGGCTGCTCGAAGTGTCCATGGCCCTTGGGGGGGGAAGGACGGGCACCCCGGTACTTTACGCCCCAAGCACTCCGTGCATAGCTCCACGCCAGGGCGCCGCAGAGATCCTCAGCTTCACACACCCTTCGCTTCGTCCAAGGCTGAGTAATCAAAACCTGGCACTAAAAGGCTCTACCCACAACCGTCTCAAAACCATTAAAAAAAAAGAAAGGCCGACCGCACCGATTTTGTGGTGGGGGCCTCCCCTTCCTAACCTTGATCTACCCGAGCTTTGATTCTGGCTCAACTGGTGTGCGCAACCAGGGATACAAACCTCTGTGTGACATGAAGTACTCACTTGCCCAACGGACATGCAAAAGGCTAACCTTTTTTTGGGATCTTGACTCAACATGCACAAACATGAGGAAACCAAAAGGTCAAAAGGCCGTCTTGGACAACTGAGAGTAGACACTTCTATGCTTCACCAATCGAGACGAATTGTAGGGGACCTTCATGGAAATGCTCATGTGACCAAATCGACTTGCCCAAATAAATTCCACGAGCTTAATAAATTCCACGAGCTTGGTAAATGGATTCCATTTAACGTCGGTATCCAAGCAAACCACCCTTCCAAATTCAACAGGCGAATGACTGGATACCTACTTAGCTACTTCCCCACTATAGGGTGGCGTGCCTGGGATTCGCTGGGTGCCACAAGGACCAAAACTTACCAGCGAAACTTACCAGGTAAGTGTCAAAATGGGTTTAAAACGGCCAACGAGGGGTGTTCTTGGGCCGGCCGCCCAGTTAAAGCTGACTCCGGAAGCATTGCGAGTGAGCCAGCCACATCCCAACCACCAAAACCCAGCGAATTCGCGGTCAAATGCTGGGTTTCCCTTGTTCTCTTGCGATGTTTGCGTCATCCACCACACCCAATCGTCACAACCAACAGGGATGAAACATGGGGGGGTTGGTACAAAAGGCAGCAAGGATCTCGTGGTGGGGAGCGACAAGTGTGCGATCCTATGATTTCCGCAAGGGAAAAAGGAGCACTTACTGCGCTCGCGAATCGCGGAGCCTGACGGACGATTATGACCCCCTTCTTTGGTTGGTCATCTCAAGTAAGGAACGCACTAGAATAACCCCGGGTATCCCCAACAGTCCACCCCCGGAACCCGTGTTCGGAAGCCGTCAGATCGCCGGCCACTCGACCCCAAAGCTTTCAGCCGAGCTTCTGTGCGAAGACCACCCCGATGACGCAAGCATCCAGCATCTGACCGCAGACCACTTGAAGGGGCAGTATCAGCACAGCCTCCGGGCAGTGGTCGAAGTTCTCTTTGGGCGCCCCGTAACCTGAAAGAGGCGAGCGTTTGCGGCGGTCCTGTTGAATGCGAGAAACAACTTGGTGTTCCATACCTCCAAGCCGTGACGGGAATCAACACAAGGGGTTGATCTGCACATTCCGATAGCGAAGTGTCAAAAAGGCAATGACAAAAGCGCTTCACACAAAATCAAAAAAAAACTGCTCTCAGCCATCACGTGAATTCCCTCTTTGAGGGGATACAGCCTAAGGAAGGCTATCAAAGGCAGCCAATTGTGGGAAGCTGCAGTGTCTGATGTCGTCCCATACCCAGAGAAAAGGATGGCAGCCTGAAAGTAGCACACCAAAACACTCTGAACACATGATCTTCACCAAGCAAACGCTTCAAAACAAAATAGAATGCCCCCCCCCATCATGTCATGCGGTGCAACCAATTCGTGCTCAACGCTATGAGTCTTTCTCAACTTCATGGCGGCGTTGCCAAGTGCAGTCCCTGGACGCTCCTGCTGGAAAGGAAACCCGTTCTGAGAATCCGATCACAGCCCAACAGCAGGGGCTCAAATAATTGCCATTGTGTTCTCATGGTCATGACTCAATGTCTTGGCCCTTGTTCAACCCCAGGATTTACATCTTTACCACCCTTTTAATTAGTCAAGCGAGATGGTGCCAAACAGTGACCCAGGTGTGGTTACTCACAGTGCCCCACCCCATTCCAACGAAAGCTCATTCCAACGCCCAAGCGGCCGATGGTCATCTGAGTCTCCACCGAGAAGTAGAAGGCCGACAGCAGGCTGGACAGGCCGATGGCGCAGTCCTTCCGACCAAACATCATGGCCCGAAAAAGCGAGCAGCGGACAAAATTAAACGTGTAAGACGTCTGGCTCGGAAACTCCAGTCGATGAATGGAGTTGGGGTAATTAGTTCTAGCGGAACTTTCCCCTTTCTTCCCAGGGATCCTTCTTTTCAGGAAACCATCAAAAACCCAGGTTGGAAACAGCCGGTTTTTGAAAAGAACGGTGGTTGAAAAGAATGGACAAGGAATCAACCCCTAGAGTAATTCGTTAGTCACAAGCTGATCCTTTTGGTACGGGATAGTCCAAAGTTGACAGTTGGCATGTGGAACTTCGAACTTGATCCAGTGAATGCGAACAATCCCTTCACACACTGAACCTCAAGTCGAAGAAACCCGTAGCTCACCGCTCTGCTCCTCGGAGATGCTCCACCAAGCCAAGGCAAAGAGAAAGTGGCACAAGGCCTCAGGCATCTGCACATGTCCATGGACAACACACTGGCCCAAATGACCTCTCTCACTCTCCGGTCAAGCTTAGCGCGGCTGGAATCTGCGAAGCTCAGATCGGCGGTCTCCGTGGACCACGCATAAGCCCAGCACTGCCAAATGACCTGGAAACAAAAGGTTAACCTTTTGGAGCCTTGACTAGAGGACCAAATCAGGACAACAAAAGGCTAAAAGGTCGATTCGCCAACGTGAGCTATCATGGCGTCCACGTCTACGAGCAATTTCCGCTTTCTGAACCCAGGGAAAGCAGTCGTCGTTCGCAAAGAGCAGTGGTTGAGAAGAATGAGGAATCAAACCTACAAAATGGGTCCACAAAAAAGTGAAACGCGGGTCGAGGGCCAATTCTTGCAGTGGCACAAGGGTCCATGGGCCGAACCACTCAAACATGACTCGATTCCTTAGAGATGCAACATCCGAAGCTGTCGGGACTTGACGTAAGGTGCAAGGCTAAAGGCAACACCGCATGAGCTTCGCCTTATCCACATCATCACTGGGCAACAGCGGCCCATGTGCCTTGCTCTACCAGTCCTAACTGGACATTCCAACTGGTGTGAGTCGTGGACACACATCCCACTAGCTCTATGCACTTCCCTTCTGGTGTGTGTTTTGTCTTCTCAACTTCAAAAACACCGAGCTGCAAAACAAAAACCTGGCCGGTTGTGTCTTCTCTCAACGTGCAAAAAGCAAAAACAACACGAGAAACAAAAGAAGGAAAACACAACAACTCCGAGTTGCCCCACAAAAAACAAACTAAGCAGCAAAAGCTCCGAGCTGGCCCCCCCCCCAACGAAAAACAAAAACGGGCCTTGCCAAGCAACCAGCCAGCCTCCTGAGGCTCCGCGCGTAGATCCCGAAGACCAGCGGGTAGAGGCCCAGGAAGGGCAGCTCCAGCACCGTGTGGAAGAAGTCCTTGCAGAACAGCGCCCAGATCTGCCGCTTCTTCCGCACGTGGAAGACCTGCACTGCTCGAGCCGGCGGAGCTTAGGGCCCTCAAAGGGGCGTGAGGCCGAAGAAAGCGGCGGGGAATAATAATGATTTAAAAAAAAAAAAAAAAAAAAAAAAACGGGAAGGGCAAGCCAGGAAACGCGGCAGGTGCCCAAACGGGTCGACGTGGTTGGATTTGGTTTGGGTGGGTTGGTTTGCGGGGTTGGTGGGTTGGGGTTGGTTTGGATGCGTGAAAATTGAGGGAGGAAGGTGTTGGGTCAAATGAGCTTCACCAATCTGATAGCTATGATCATGACTTGCGGACGAGGACTGTTGCTCACCCAGTAGCTGATCAAACTAAAATCCTCAAAATCCCAAGCCCTAAAAAACCCTCAAGCCCTAAAACCCAAAGCCCTAAAAACAGTTTGCTAACCCAAGCCCTCAAAACCCCACATCCTCAAAGTCCCCAAACTCTTCGCGGTGGGAGAACTTCGTGCAATTTCCAGGAGCCCGTCTGCACAAATTATGCGAATTCCCTAATTAATTGATTCATTGAAAGGGGAACTCCCCGACAAAAAACAAGTCAATTCAACTTCCAGTCGAAAATCCCCGCCAAAGTTTTGCCCGGCTTCTTCGCCGAAGGGCTCGCTTGCTCTGAGACTCACCGGCGTCTCGGTCCAGAATCCGGTGGATCTTGCTGCGGTGTAGCGCCAAGAAGGTGGTGTCCTCAGAATACTTGCACCTTATCTTGGTTGACGTTGGAAGGGGAGCAACAAAAAAACATGATTAGCAGTTCAGTGGGGATTTCCACCACTAAACCACAATAAGCAAACATGTAAAAACTGCTTCCCAACAGCAACCCATGTTGTCTGCAAAATCGAGCTTCATTCCAAAAGCTGAAAGAAGGGATCCCCAAGTAAAGGATCTTTACCATGGTGAGCTCGTTCTACCCCCGAACCGACGAGCTGCCTATAACATAGGCAGACGTTATAGGCACAACCCCTGCAGTGGATTTCCATGCCGAAAAAACAACCATCTAAAGCAACCACAATCAACCCATAACACATCAATCCCACAACCAACCCATAACAAAAGCAACCACAACACCAACCACAAGATCGCCAAGACCAAGCACAAAATGGGATTGTCAATTTGTTGAAGGCATGTGTTGTTTTCTTTTCGGTGGGCAAAAAGGGCCAAAAGGAAACCGTTGCCTTGGTTGGGGGGTCAAAACCATTTTAAGACACGCCCAAAACCATCAAAAACATGAGTTGTCTTTTCTTGCCGGTCCTCAGGAGGGAATGCCCCCTACAAACAATCCCCTGGTGGTTTCGTATAAATCTATGATTGTCATTCCCTAAAAACCCCTAAAAAAACCATCCTTCCTATGGCTTCTTCATTTGGGAATCCCCCAAAACCGGTTCATTCAATCAACCACCGGACTCGAAAGCTCATTCCCTACCTATCGCACCAGCTTTCAGTGTTGGCTTCTCGCCAGGGGGCGACGGTGGACCGCTGCTTCACATCCCGAAGCCCAACCGAGGACAGCGAGGAGAAGCTTCCGAAGGAGGCCTCCTCCGCGTGCTCCTTCTGGTCCGTGTCGTCGGCAGCCTCTCGGCTGAGAGACTTCTCCCGGGAGAGGGAGGTTAAATTGTGTGGAGCCCCGAATTGGGTGGTTTCCCGTTGGCTCCCCTAACCGGGCCTAAGGAGAGCCTCAAAAAAGTCGCTACCTCGCACGGATTCGTACAGGGAGCCGTGGAAGTGCTTTGGCTTGGTGCTTAAGTTCTACCCAAGATCGAAACCGGCTTAGTTTTAGCACAGCGGAAGGGGATACCGAACCAACGGAAGTTGAGTCCAGTTTTTTGGCCGCCTCCTTGGACGCCAAAACCCTGGCAAAGTCCAAGCTCTTTGAAGCGTCACTGGCTTGGTCAAACTGACTTGCTGCGAAACCCAAGAGCAACCAAGAAAAAACACGAGCGATGGGAAAAGACCAGTCCCTCGGTGACCTGGAATGCGAACTGCAAAAACATGCCCCTGATTGCTAACTCGTGAAGGCTACTCCTTTGGAGAATCAAACCGCGTTTCCGCAACCCATCTGCACGGAAGACCAAAATCGACCAAACCTGGAGCCATGTTGGGGAGATGGGAGCCCACGCGGCCTCGTCATCCGTCGCCATTCAAACAATCAGGTTGGCACGAGAATTCATGGGGGTTGATCAAAAGGTCAGTAATACACGGGATGACCGGAAAACCCGTAAAAAAATGCTACTTCCCAGAAAAAGCAGAAATGTCTGCTTGCGGTGAGGGTGCGACATCGAGCCATTAAGTAGGATGCTTTCACAATTTCCGCGACTTGAATGCATGTCAAGCACAACCCCAGAGCGGTGTCATTCGCTTGACTAGCTCGAGTAGCAAATGTCACCGGTCTCTGCCGGTGAGTTCTTGTGTCGTTCATTGCACTTGCAGATTGGCTGAAGCCAGAGGTTGCGCCAGTTTGCGACAACTCGCCGCGCCAAAGCGTGGCCCAAACGGAGTGCTTCTGAACTTGGGGGATTCCGCTTTTGGGATGGTAAGAAGAAACCGAAAAGAAACCAAGTACCTGAAGGTATGGGCGGTATGGGTATTTAAATCTTGAGAAAAGACCCTCTTAAGCACTGTGGTCGCCACTTGGGATGGATACTTGAACAAATTGGCAGGAGAAGTCCCCTCCCTTCGACAAAAACGCCTATGGGTGTCTGTTACGGAACCCCTTTTTGGTTCCAATTGGAGGGTGAGAAACACCCATATGAGCCCTGGACCAAATCGTTTGTTTCCAATACATGGCACAACTGGAGGGACCCTGGTTTTCGTGGCGATTTGTATGTGATTGCTTCCTAGGGATCCCTCATTTGCTCCTTGCAGGGGCCTCCACTTGCATTTGCTTAAGCCCCCTGAAAAAATGAGCATCTTTCCAGTAGTGACAGGTTCCCTTCAAAACCAACAGGGGAAAATCAACACATACTCATTTCAGCAAATGGAAGTCCCCAAAAAAAACGACACTTCACAGCCCTCGGTATGGTTGCAAGCAAGGTTGCTTTTGCGCAGCCTACTAAAAATGAACAGAACCAGAAAAACACAACAAACTTGCCAAGAACAGTGAAGAAGCCAAAATGTGTCTGTGAGAAACCGGAAGCACCACCTGTAAACTGTAAAATGCTTCTGTGGTGTCTTCACCTGCTTGTTCATGGCTCTCTCCAAAACTTGGTTGACGTTGGAAGGGGAGCAACAACATATACTTTGTTGCAGTTCAGTGGTTGGATGTCCTTCCCACTAAACCACAATCACCAAAAAATGGCCATTTCCCACTAAACCATTAAAAAAAAAAAAAAAAAAAAAAAAAAACTACCCACTAGACCCCCAAAAAAAGGTCACAACGGTTTCCCAACAACCCAAACCAAAACCAACAAACGAAGAAAAAAAACCGATTTGCCCAACAACAAAACAAACAAACGAAAAACACAGCGACGCATTTTCCCCCTGGAAAAACCGATTTGCCCCTGGAGTCTCAAACGGATCCTCTGGGCGCCCGGCTTCAGCTGTAGGGCCGGGTGGCTCTGCAGCACCGCCGTCACAAAATCCTCGCTCGCGCGGGAAGCCGCAAGAAACCGTAGGGAAGCCGGTGGAAAAACCATAGGAAACCAGAGGAAACCGGAGGAAACCGGAGGAAACCGGAGGAAGCTACAGGAAACCCGAGGCTATTCTTTTCACCTATGGTTGCAAGAGGGGAAACCAAAAGAAAAATGCAAAAAGCGTTTTTGGGGCTCCGATCCACCCATGATTGACACATGCCCGTGCATGACACTGACCAGGTAGGGGAATTCAAGGGGAAACTCCTCACATCTCTATTGGGACTTTTGCAAAGACAAATCCAAGGGCACGTTACCAGGACCGAACAAGGTGTTGGTCTTTGACTAGTTGGGCTGCAACCCTTGTAAGACAATCCCAAGCAAATCTAAGCACAGCTTGGGGCTCCACGCCTGGGCTCTAAAGTGGGTCCTTATTCAGTGAACCTCAAAATGCATCGGCTCAAAAGAAAGATCCTTGGACGCAACGGGTAATACAACAAATACACAACAACATGCGAAACTGGGAAGTGTACTGAGCTTCTAGAAACACAAAACTGCTGGGATCCATCTCTTTTCAGCCAAACTGACATAAAGAACACATACCAACTCCAACTCCTCAAACGAGAGGCCCATAATGTTGACCCAGGATTAATAAACCCGTCCCATTATTAGGGGGGGTGTTCCCTCCAAAAGTGATGAATCCCCACTAAAAGCGGACACCTCCCTGTTAATCAACCAGGGGTCAACATTAGACTCGAGCCGAAGATCTCCGCCCGCCTGCTGCACCTCGCGGGACCGCAGCTCCAGGCAGATGTCCAGCAAGAGGTCCCCCCTTGAATCGCGAGTCGGGCGGAACTGACCAAAGGGATGCGACGGAAAGACGAAATGCGAGAAACACGGTGCCCGTCTTTGTTTTGGTTCGGTGCCCGGCTTGGAAGGAAAACGAGAAGTAAACCAACCATTTTGTGGGGAAAACGAGGTACGCCCAAACGCGGTTCGCCTGAAAGGTAGTAAAATCATGGAAACCCAGCCCCCCAAATTTGCAAAAAGTTGAAAAGGTAAGCTTTTGGTCGGGCAATGTGCAAAGAGTCTTCTGAAAACAAGTCCTTTGTGGTTGTCCCCTTCTTGTCACAGATTTTGCAGGGAAGGAAACCCTCAGAAAGGACGCTCCAGCAGACCACAAGACAGTAGACAATTGGTCGATGAAGGGAAACCAAACAAAACCAAGTTTTAAACATTAACAGGGTCGCTTTTGAGATGTAAATCCTTTTGGAGGTCGAAAACGCTTATGGAGGGTCCAATAATGATGCTTAGGGTATCCCAAACGGAATCCATTTCTGCACCATGATGCTCTGGAAAGAGCGACAGCTGCGTGCCCGGCTTATGGGGCGGAAAGAGCTGGGTGTTGCAGCACACCTGAAGCAAGGCTGTGCGGTAAGGGGTTGTGGGAGAGTGTCAAACCAAACTTCGCCATTCGTAGAGGCAGATTTGTGAGTGCGTCGGAAAGAAAGCACCTGATGTTGTGCCCCATCAGACGCCACGCGAAACCCTCTTATTCACTCCGGAGCCGATGGCAGAGACCCCCAAGCCTCCAGCGGTTGGGGAAAAACCCGCGGTTGAGTGATGTGGGGGGTCCCTTCAGGTGACTCCTTCACTTGGTTCGGCGTGGGGGTGGGGAGGCTAGGTGATTTTTTCGGGGGCAAGCGGGCGGCATGTGTGCGACAAGCGTGCTGCGATCCACTTGACTATGACTCACTTTGCAAGGTAATGGAAACCCGGGACCGATAAAGATTTGGACGGGGTGTCGCATTTTCAAGTAACCTTCAGTTTGGAGGGAACGCCGCCCTATTAATCTGCCAAGTTGATTGATCTGGGGTCGACATTATGACTCCTAACATGAAGGCCAATTTGCCAATGACACTGAAACGCTGTCTGCTTGCAGGTTACGACCCCCCAGTCAGGCTCCATGTGGGAGGGTAAATCTTCAGAATGGCAGTCTATTTTGCACCCGGCAATTTGCTTGGTCCAGCCATGGAAACCAGATACAGGTTAATGTTGACCCCATATCTATCAACCCCAGTGTACTAATAGGTGTCCCGGTGTCCCTGGGTGAAATGTTGCGAATCAGACCTCTTTTGGGGCCAAAACCACCCCAGAGTTTCATAAACCGCTTGGTTGATTTGCCTATGGGGTCAACATTCATCTGCTGCAACTTTTTTCGCCACGTGGCTGTGGCAAAAAATGTCCAAAATGGCACCGAAATAGAAAAGACCAAACCCGCGGTTGGCCCCAGCTCGAAAGTGGCTTGGTTGACGTTGGAAGGGGAGCAAAAATGAAAAGATGATTGCAGTTCAGTGGGGATTTCCACTGCTGAACCACAAGAAGCAAACATGTAAAAACTGTTTCCCAACAACAACCATGTGTAAGTGGCACGACCGGCCTAGTGGATCCAACCAGCCCAACTTGCGTCAAATAAGTGGGAACCCCAGGTCCGAAAGCTCCCTAGCTCACAACAACTATCACAACAACAACCACAACCACAACAACTGCACATTTCCCAGAGAACCACCATAAATGTAAAACAGCTTCCCAACAACAACCATGGTGGGCGCCTCCTCCCACTCCTCCCCTTGGCCCTTGGGGCCTCTTTGAGCAGCTCCCCCGCCGCCGCCGAGACCTCGGAAGAAATGATCTGCGCCCCGAAAGGCGCGCGCAGGGCGCGCGCGGCTTTCAGCGGGGGAAGTGGCCTGGGCCACCAAAACACGCCCCTGGAACTTGGTTTGTTCTTTTCTTTTCTTTAAAAACACATCCACGAGAATGGTCCAAACGCCAGAAGAGAACGCCCTAGAACGGTCCAAACCCGAAAAGTGGTGAAAGTCCAGGAACTCAGGGAGTGAGGCATGAAGGAGACAGGCGCGGCTGGCGGGGTGAACAACAAAACAGAACAACATTCGAAGGGTGAAAGGGCGGAAAGGTGAGTTAAGCCCGGTTTCCAAGAATTTCAGCTACAGCATGGGCAGATACATTCGCAATCGACGAAGGCAATATGTAAGTAACCCCTCAAGTTGGCCTGCGTGTCCTCCGAGGCCAGCAAGTGCGAGAGGTTCCGCAGCGCAAAGGCGTTGAAGAAGAAGGCCTGAGGCAACTCCAATCAAATCGTACCCCCAGTGAACTTCAGGTGGGGTAATAGGCATTCGTATCCTCCCTCGTGTTCAGGGATGTTTTTCATGGGAACCCCGGGTTAATGAACCCATCCTTAAGGGGCTGCCCACGACACTCTCAATCAACCAGGGCTTGATTGATCACAACTAGACCCTGGCCCCCCTTTGAAGAGAAACCAAACGAAAGTTGTTTGTGAGGGGCCCAAGAGACCCATACGATTACTTTGGTGTAGCACAACTGCCGATAATAGAAACGCGTGAACATGCACCCACCATACATCTTGGAAACGCGCTCACGCATTTCGGCGCCCACTCACTCACTCAAGAACCCCAGCACTTGAAGGCAATCCCAAACGCAGTACTCCAAGCAAAGAATCCGGCTGACACTGGCCGAGGCGGGCAGCACGAAGC